AGCCCCCCTGAGGCAGTGTCAGTGGGGCTCTGCAAGGTCTATGGTGGGCAAAGCCCACCACAGATCCTGCAGGGCCTCAAAGCGCGGGGGGGGGGGGGGCTTTGCAGGATCTGTGGTGGCCTCTGCGGGGTCTGTGGTGGGCTCTGCAGCATTTCAGGGGGGCTTGGCAGCCCGAGACCCTGCAGAGCTAATAGCGTAACATGTCAAAAGCTGGATACATTGTGTGCACTGTATTCAGCGACTGACAGGTTACGCAAAAGGTATTAAACAGGAAGGGGTGGGCCCGAATTTTGTCTCGCTTAGGGCAGCCCCAAACCGTAATACACCACTGCACATTCCATTACATGCGGTGTGCACGCATTTACATGCAGCAGCTGTCACCTGATCATTAACTTGAATGGGTGACAGCTGCCACTTGTAAGCATTCCTGCTGCAGGAACCCCTAACCAGACCTAAACTTAAGATATGAATAGGGCCTTATTGTGTGTATTAGTGTCCCTAGTACCAAACTGGATATAGTTACATTTCATTTTAAAGTATGAAATTTGGCGCGCGGCACCCATGGAAGAAAAAAAAAATTGTTGAATGGCCCCCGAGTGAATTAAGTTTGACACCCCTGGTCTACACGTTTGCAAAGCTGAAATTGACTTACTATACAGAGCACTTGTGCTCCTGAAGTTTTAGGCTCTAAGCAAATGCCATTGGCTTGGCATTTAAAAAAACAAATGACAATTAGATCAAGCATACAGATCAAGAGGAACACTGTGCAACATCTATACATGACTTTTCCGTGTAGATCACTGGCAAAGTGCATAGCCTGGCTGCCTGCTCCTGGTCGCTCTGTTGCTGCAAGGACGGACACAGCACAGAGAGAGGGAAGAAGGACATTGATTGGCTGCTGGGGGATGTAGTAGACCTGAGCTATGGAAGGCTGTGTGGACTACACCTCCCAGAGCTGGGGGGAAGAGCGCATCAGGCTGTGCTTGGATGGAAGAGTAGGAGCCATGAGGCTGGTAGACCGCAGACCGAGCTCTTGCTGGGAAGGACAGAAGCTGCTACAGGAGAGACTTGCTTGTGGGTGCAGCTGCAGGTGAGCCAGGAGACTGAGTCTGCAGTGGGAAGTTGCAGGGGCTGAGTGCTCACAGCTGCTAAGAACAGACTGACTGCATGGAACTGCTGTGGCAGAGAAAAATAGGTCAGAGCCCCAAAGAACACTGTCCAGATGATGCAGAGGACTAAGGACTCTAGGAAAGGAGTACCCCCCAACACCAGTTTAAAAAGGTGTGTATGTGGCATTAGCCCTTTTGCCTCCAGAGTAAAGATGGGGATCTTGACAGCTGGTGCCCAAGGGAGTTCTCACCAGAAAACAAACTTTGCACTCGTTAGCTTGTTCAAGGCATGTGAGAATCCCAGAGATGCACCTATTTTTGTCCCTTTCTCGGTAACTGTCTCTCTGCTCCTGTCTTTCTTGCCCTCTACAGCCCCTGCTGCATCTCACAAATAGTTGATTGTTTGGCCCAATTTGTTTTCGGTTCGCAATTTACTATTTTGTGCCATAGTTTAACCAATCCTTTTTGTGCAGGGCTTCCGAGTGTTAACAAAGCCCACTCAACATTACTGGCGTGTTACAAAGCTCTGGGTCACTTCAGAGCAGACCCCAGCTGGGAGAAGACAGGAGGACCCATCTTCTTAGATCATAGTGCTACAAATGATACGGTGCAGCTTCAACCAAAGAAAAAAAAAATGGCAACTGTTGTCACATTCTTAAACTAGGACAGGAAAGGTGCACATAGGTAGACCAGTAAACTAAACGGTGCAAATTTCCCCACCACTAAATCCAGCTTGTCAGCACAAAAGGCCTGATTAAATCCTTTCAGCATTTAGATAATAAAAAGTTGGGCTGTCTCTTTTGCACGCCACATTTCTCTTCAGTTTGGAAAGCTTTTGTATTTGATAGTCCTTGAAATCTTCTCTTCACATTTGAAATGGAGAATTGCTTAATTCAATCAATCAGTGTTAAGCTGTTGTCCTGTGAGCCGACTATCAGGCAAGCGTTTGGGCCAAACTTGTCTGCTGATTTTGTTGTGTTGTGGCTTTGGGTCTTTCACGCCTCTGACGCAGTTTCCAAGTGTCTTCTGATAGTGTAATAAGTGTACTCACTGATAGCTTGGCTTTCTTTGAAAGTTCTTCAAAGGAAAGACCTACACTTTTAAAAGGTTATAATGTTTTGTCCGTCTTCCTTTGTCAATTGCCTTTCATTTTCAGAGCAATATGTTCCTGCAGTACAATAGTGTCCAAATATTGCTTCAGAGGGTGTATTAACAATCTGTTCCAGCATGGCTTTTATACAGAGGGCTTGTGACCATCAACAAAAGATGGGACACCTGTAGGAATTGTTGGCATACATTTTAAGGCTCAATTTACTTGCATTGCTGCAGAACTACCGAGGTGTTAACTAGGGATGCACAGATACCGTTTTTCGGTATCAAGTACTGATATTTATATTTCGGTACTCACCAAGTACCGATACTTCCGGTAGCATAGTCAGCTTCCTGGGCAATATGGAAGCCAGGCAGCGTGTCATTACCCAGCGCTCTGCTTCTTGATTGCCCGGCTCGATGCTGGTTGGCCGGAAAGTCAGCTTTCCAGCCGATTGGCATCGAGGCCAGCCAAAACAGATCTGACAATATGGTGACACGACCCCCACCCTGCAGGAACCTCATTTCCACTCACATAGATTATTAGCAGCAGTCATTACCATTCCAGTCCCTTAGCCAGCGGGGCAGACACCGGGCAGACTGGTATGGTAATGACTGTTGCTAAGGATCTATTTGAGGGGAATTAAGTGCCTGCAGGGTGGGGGTCGTGCTGCCATATTATCAGATTTGTTTGCCCGGCTTGATACTGATTGGCTGGGAAGCCGGCTTCCCGGCCAATCAGCATGGAGCCAGCTTCCAGGCTCCACGTTCCCTCACGGCAGTGCCGGTCAGAGGAAATCTCCCTCTGGCCGAAGTTCCAGCATCAGGAAAGGTATCGGAGCATTTGGGCGAGTACAAATACTAAAATCTACATTATTTTTCAGTTGTTAACCTAAACTATTTTTTTTTTACATCCACCAGTTTACCGCTTACTTTTGTACCATTTCAGGTTATTCAATGAACACAGTAAAATGCACAACCAAATAAACACATACAAATTTTCAACAGAACAATTCAGGACACATAATAAACCATAGGAAAAAAATATTACCTTTTATTCAGGTTAGCTGAATACACATTTTTACATTTGAATAATATCACTCAAATTATAGAAAATTGATTTGCTCTGGAGAAGGGTATGAAATAGATGTCGGGCAATTGAACACATCACAGAAAGCACTTTGTCTCCTTGGACACCTACACAGTAACTGAGGCATGCAGATAGCATAAGGGGTAATGCAGGGCTGGTCTGCAGTTTGCTAGTGTGCAGTCCTGATGGTGGAAGTAGAACCTGAAGTTGAATTACCTCCGGTGTTCCCCAAAGGACAAAAAAATAAAATAAATAAATAAAATCAAGCAGGTGTTACACTGTGTTCCTCAATGGACAAAAGAAATATTGAAGTGGGTGTTACACTTAAACTAGCCCAACGAGCAATCCGAAATTGGAACTAGCACAAAAAGGTTCAAAACTGCAGGCTGATATAATCCAGCCATTTATTACAGGGAAGGGAGAATCGGAAAGGTTATGTTCATTAGTAAAACATCTGGAGCAGATAAAACACTGATTCATGTATTTTTGCCATTTGGGTCAATCTCCCTTCAATGCCAACCACCAGTTAAAGCCTGACTGAGCTGTCAGTTTAAATCCACTAAATATATTCCAGGTTCACCAAACAAAAAGGCTTGCAAAATCTTAGTTCCTTTCTTTAGAACGCAGAGACAGCCTGAGTAGAGAAGCCTGTCCCCATGGCAGAATGCTGCAAATATTCTTACTGTGTGCTTTCTAAAGAAAACAGACTGCACACCTTTTGTTCTGATGCAACTAAAACTCTTTTAGCCAATTAAACGTTAAAATGGGTTTTAAACCCGGATCAAAAGTGCAGTTTCATATTCGCAGACCTGCATAATGGCAGAACTCCAGAAATCATGGGCTGAGCTTGCTTGAATGCTTCGTTTACATGCCTCAAAAACATGGCTTAATAGTTCTTTTTCCCATTCAGGATTTTTCAATTCCGAGGACTTTGCTCTTCAGCCAGCCGGAGACCATGCAAATGTACTCCGATTACTGAAAGCTTTATATTAGTAATACTGTGACTACTGCCGACGGTAAAAGTGTTTTAACTCTAATTAGAAAAGAAAAAAAAAAATTCACACTGAAACACTTACATGTAATCTTTTAGTCTAATCCATGTTCAGTCATTTCCATTTACCACAGAATTTTTTTTGGCTAAGCACAATGTTTTTGCTGTGGCTCTTAGTAGTAGTGTCTATGGAGCATGTGGACTCACCCACCCCAAGGACGAGAGATGCGTCCTGTCTCTCCAACATGCAGAGGTGTCACAAAAAGGGTGGACCTAAAGAACAGTGACCACACCTGCCTCCTCCACAACTGCAGAGTTATAGTTCAGCACATCACTGAATTTATACTTCATCACACTGACATCACATGTGCATGACTAATGTGTGAGTGTGGATGGGAAATTTGGTCCAGCTGCCGGGCACTAGGGAAAGATTGTGTTGACTATCCCAGAAGTTAGGGGGACACGCTGCACCACTAGGACTGAGAAGTACAAAGAATACTAAAATTTACTTCAATTACTTGAAAAAAAAAAGGATGGAATTGAGGAAAACCACATGCACTTACAGAGAGAGCTCCTTTGTAAACAAGGATATTTGTTCAGTTCTTGTTTTTTTCTCATTAAAAACGTCAAAACTATTGAAAAAAAATAGTTAAAATAAAAAAACTGCTACTGAACTTTCATCCCGAAAAACATAAACATAAGCTGTTTAATGGTGTTAAAACATAGAACATTGTGAAAAAAGACCAGGATCATTTTGAAACGAACGAATGCAAAAACGTTATCCCTTCTACTGCTCAATTCTCCTCTGTAGTTTCGGCGGTCTTGGTCAGAAGTTTCTGGAGAAAAAAAAAAAAACATTGAATAAATAATCAGGAGGTAAAAAGAAAAACAAAAAGAACAAAAAACACAAATTGGTCACTCTGGTTGACTATTAAAATAATAAACTAGCAGATTGCCAGCAAAAATATGTCTGGAGAGAACTGTGCATAGCTTTACATCATTAATGCAGGTTATGGTGCTTAGCTTGTGGCAACTCATGGTTCTCTGCTCCCATTATGAGATAGGCCAGTCACAACTGACCGATTACCTCACCAGGCTTTTATGTATTTAAACACATTTTATTCGCGTCAAGCACATTTGTAAAATCATATAGCTGACCTAATAAGGTGTTTTGTGCAGGAGCAGCATGGCTATGGTAAGTTATTAAACTGTCCCCAATGTAAATCTTTTTATCCACCATCTTATATCTATGCCGGCTTGACGAGCTGGATATCTGGGAGAAAGCCTGTCAAAAAAACCTACCTTGAGTTTCTGATAGTGAGCCAGGCTGCTGCAATGTGTAACCTTTGCTACCTCCTCACTTGTGTAGAACAGTGAGCACAGTTTGCAGTAGAATCCAGTCTTGGGAATCACATAATCCACCCCTAAAAAATATTGAAGAAAATGGTTAACTCATATATAGTAAATATTACAGAACAGTCCATCAGCATAAAGTGACTATCAGGTCCAAACATTAGGTTGGCCAATAATAAATTAAATATTGCCTTCATGCCTTAAAGAGCGAGGATCCCAACTTAGTACCAGGCCAAGAACCAGCATGCAGCCCATGGCTAGAAGTCAGATTCCTCTTCAGGCAAAAGCAGGTGAAGCAAGTCAACTAGAATTGGAATACAAATTCTGAGATCTTTCAAATGTGTGTCAAGCACAAGTTGCCATTTGCCTACTAAAGTAAAAGGTAATAGACAAGAGATTAACATCACATACTTACCGACAGGATTGTTAGGCTGGTAGGGCCCAAGCTCATAATCTGTATCCGGTACCGTTAGGCTACTGGTTTCTGTAGCACTCTCGCTGTCTGGAGCACTTTTAACACCTGCAAGGGCATCCTCTGCACTAGTGCTGGCCATTTCGGAGCTCATCGCTGCTTTAGCCTTCTCAGTTCCAGCAGCTTCAGATACATCAGTCTTCATCTTGTGACCTTCCATATCCTCCACGTCCCCAACTTCATCCAGTGTAACAAAGTCTTCCATATTCCCGTGAAATCTCTGTGAGTTCTACAATGAGATGGGCATAGATTAACAACTGACATCTCAGAAAGGCAATGTGTTAAAATCAAAACCATATTAAATGAAGGCCACAAATTTAGGACTACCTAATACACCAACTGCAAACAAGGCAAAGGGATACTATTGTGTAAATATTACATTTTACACAATGTAACATATTTAAAGGAGAACTATGAGGCGAGTGCGTTTCACTCACCCTCATAGTTCTAGCCGACCTATGACAATGAAACCGTCACAGGTCGGCTCAGTAGATCGGGGAGTGAGCGAACACACACCGGCGGTCGCTCACTTCTCGATCCTGTCACGGCAGAGAGCCGTGACAGGGGAGGGACCAGATTCCCCCCTCCTCCAGCGCTGACTGGCGGGGGAGGGTACAGCTGGCTCTGCCTCTAGATAGGCAGAGCCAGCTATCACGCAGCTGGGCGGATCCAGACAATTGTTGGGATCCGTTTCAGCTGCGGTGTCTCAGTATGCTGCCAGCTGTAGCTGGCGGTATACTGAGCTTTGGGTGACGGGAGGACGCTAGTTTGTGTCCTCCCGTTACCCTTTGGAGAACTATGGGGAAAAGCCCTAACCTCATAGTTCTGCTTTAACTACGTCGGCTCCGAAAAAAATAAAAAACCCAAAACTTTAAGAGTAACTAGAAGATGCAAATCATACCTTTTTTTTTCCAACTATAGGAGTTGAAGAAAGCGGTTCTTGGGCCTCGTCTTGGTTTTCACTCATCTCTTTTTGATCCAGATCACCAATATCAGGTACTTCTGCTCCATCTCCTACAGAGCTGCTCGTTTCAAAGAGGGCAGTTGCTTCTTCATCACCAGTTTCATCTGCAAGCTCACATGAGCCAGACACAAGGTCCTTCAGATCAGTCTCTTCAGTGCTTGGGTCATTATCTTCTGTGGTGACAACTTGGGAGGACTTGTCTGCATCGCTGGCCTCCGATTTGTCAGTCTTAACCTGCTTCGGTTTGCTACCATTCTTCCGATCTGGGGAATGAGCTCTCTTCCTGTAAAAAGTGGAATATCAGTTTATACTAGATTTATAAACAAAACATTGATAGAAAAAGCGCAGGGTATTGTATATGTTAAAGGGCATCATTTCTCAAGTTAGTGACTCACTAGGAAGAGAAATATGAAAAAAAAAAATTAATGACCCCACTAAAAACCAAATATAGTCCAAACTAAGTTGTCCAAATGTAGACAGGTCTATTAATTAAAAGACGATCTTTATAATCCCTAAAGAAATGCTAGAAGACATGCCCCTTAAAATATAGGCAAACAATCTTATTCTCCCTTTTGTCTGTTAAAACATACTTTTGAAAGTTTGGTATACATGCAATAAAAATAGAATGTTTTGTAAAATCCTTTTCCTCATGTTCACTGAGAGACAGGAACTCCGACTGCCAGGACGTCCAAAAGCAATACCACCAGGGAAAAGGGTTGACAAAACAAGGGGAACAAGCCCGAGGGCTGTCAGGTGGTGGGGGAGAGACAGAAAACTGGGGACCACCACCTGAAGGACTCAACACAGCGCCCAACACTGGCATGAAAATCCACCTGGTAGTACTTTCTAAAACAGAAGACCTAGTGGAAGCAAGCTGGGAAAAGTTACATGGTGCCAAAAGGAGCAAAAAAGACACAAACCTAGTAGAGTGCACCCCGACAAGAAAGAAAAGGTACAGGAGGGGTTCTTATTAGGATAAGGCCAGCAGTTCAGACACATGCATCAGAGATCACTACAAGAACCACCATATGGTTGGGTGAGAGTAGAGGAGAATGTTTCTGACGGATTCATCTGGTGACCTTTAAAGGGCAGACCGAATTGGATTCAGATCTCACTAAGTCATAGGGAGAGCTACATAGGGAGGCTTCCTGTACAAAGGTCTAAATTACGGAAAGAAAGAAAACTGATGCTAAATAGACTGGAAAGAAACCTGGGCACTTTAAAAAGGGGAGGGCCAAATGCTGGTCCAAACCCAGCTGCAGAAAGCAGAGGATTTGTCCCACTGAGAAACACCTAGGGTGTAAGCCCCAAGACTCACACCAAGTTTTGAATGCCTTCCATGTTAGATAAGACGGTAAGGGAAATAAGCTTTCAAGCTGTTAGCATATTAAGAAACACAAATTCAGAAAATCTCTATGGTGAAGGGAGGCAATGACAGATAAGTTGAACTTCTGGATTCAAATGAAGACTTTCAGAACTACTGATCCAAGATGTGGCAAATGCCCCTTGTGTATGGGAAGGGTGAACAAGTTGGTAGGAAAAACCCATGAAATCAGTCACCAGAAAAGGGGTAATTACATCTGGATTCAAAAGACCCAAGAGGAATCATGGAGGTGTACTAATCTGTGGGGCAACATAGGAAATTGGAGATAAGAAAACCAAGGAGTGAGCTAAACTACAGTTTGACACTTAGGTGAAGGAGGTGGTATTCAGGGCTACAGAGATTAAAAGTGGTCCTCATCCTGGAAAATGAAAGGCCAACAGAGCTGAAGAACACATGCCCACTGTCCTGAAGACAAGTAAAAACTGAGGCATGATGGTTGTGAGTGGTGTTATCCTGTACTGGACAATAATAGCTCGTTGCCAGCGTCCATTTCTCCTGTAGGCCTCAGTTTAACCCACAGTCTAAGAACTCCCATTCCTCAACAGAAAAGAAAAATAACTTGCTCCTGCCCTAAACCCAATGAGTGCCTAACTTCCTATACTGAGCCAACACCTTGCCTCTGCTGCACTGAAATTCCACTGAGCCTACAGTCATAAGCATAATCGCTGGGTGAAAATGAACAAAGGGGGGGGAAGGAACCCAACACACTGTACCTTCCATCTCTAAACAAAGCCACTACGTACAGTTTACCGTTTATGCAAATTTATAACTTAAAAGATCCACTTTTCCACAGTACATACACATTGAAATTACTTACTTGCCCTTCTCTTTTTGTTTTTCAATTGAAGCATTTGGTATCTAGAAAAAAAAAAAAAAAATGAAGACGGAAAAAAACATGGTATCCAGAAAAGTAAAATGTTTGACAAAAAGCGTACATTCCAGTACTGATTGAATTTTAATTACATTAAAGTGGAACTCCGGCCAACTTAATGGTTTGAGCCGGTCAAAATTAAAAATTGCACTTACAAGCAGGTCTCCTACATTCATCATTTTCCCAGCCAAACTACCAGAAAATAATACCCACACCTGTGCCTGAGCTGGTTACCCCTAGATATTATTACTCTTTAATTCAGCTTTAAAACGATGCATATGAAGCTGAAATAAAAACAACTTATTTCCAGTATGGGTGGATAAGTGTGCCCCCTCTAGCAGCATAGGATGCCGATGGGAGCCATGAGCGTGTGCTAAAACTGTATTTTGCAATTTACCGTAAAAAAACTTTCTTGGTGTTCATTAAGGGCCGCACAGAAGTAATTCTTGAGAGAACAGAGTTCTATTTCTGCATACATGAGATGGGACACTAGAAAAAGCATTCAGCCAACCAGATAAAACCCCTCTCACTCCCATCATGCTTCAGTTTTGTGGAAAAGTAATAGGAGCGGGTCATAATTAACCCCATAAAAATTATTTTATGGCAAATCAAAAATCCTGTTTTCCTAATGGTTTATTAACACAGGGTGATTTAGTGAAGACAAATTGGATTTACACATGTAATTTTTAAACACAGCGCCGAGTAACCAACAGGTGGTTTTACAAGAGGAACTACGTGAGCAACACCCTGTGCAATGGCCTTTACCAATCCCAGACCGGTAACTCAGGTTGCTTTAGTTCTAGGCATCAAGCACACTGTCAATAGGGACAGACATAGTGACCATAAGCTTAGGATTGATGTCCAAAGACTGAAACTCATATGCAAACACCTAGAAAGGATCAGGTACACATCGCCCATTGAATGTGCAGAAGCAGCTGCAGGCAAATCAAAAACAGACACTGGAGGAAAGAGGGGAAGAAGTACACTTGTGACCCCAGCATTCTGAGTCTGCTATCATGGGAGAGATTTTTCCCATTAATTCGGACATAGCTGCAGAAAACACCTCCCTAGATGAAGCAGAGGGAGCCAAAGATGACTCCGAGAAGGGTGTGAACTCAAGTAGTGGACAGTGATCCGGGCAATGTGTCAGGACCTTTATAAACACTAGAGGAATGAGCGGGAATCAACTTAGCGGTGGTACACCTCATGGAAGCAATGCGAGTGCACAAACTGGACATCTTTTGGCACAGCACATAGGAGGCCAGGGAGCATGCACAGGACAGTGTCAAGCAGATGCTGTAGGGAGCGCACTGTGCCTGACATGAATGCATCACAGCTCTCCCACTTAATCCCAATGGGGGGGGGTGGGGTACATTAAATTATTGAAGAAACTGTATGAAAAAATGTCTGCTGAATAGAGAGAAGACTTTCATTCTCCTAATACACTAGCACAAAACCGAAGCATGGTGGGAGCAGGAGGGGTTTGTACACTGGCAAACAAAGCTGTTAGCCAGTGTACAAACTTCAATCTGCAGGAAGAAGAAAAAACAGTTTTCAAGAACTACTTGTGTCCCTTAATGACTAGTATAAGCTCTTCTAAACTTAGGGTCCCCACACACTTACGATAATCGTATGATAATCGCGGGAAATCCCGCAATCGTACAATTATCGGAAGGTGTGTGGAAGCCGTGCGACCTCTACTACTGTAAGGTCGCACGACTTTAAACTTACGGACATGTTCGAAAACATGTTTGTGGCATGTCCGTACGATAACAGCCGCACGGGCCGGTGTGCGCAAGCGCACACTGCCCGTTCGGCATTGCGGTCATCGGAAGCCCGCCCCTCAGGGGGCGTGGCCTGCGATCATCGCAAGTACGATCTGCCTATGCAAGATAGGCAGATCGTATGTTTTTTTAAGTACCTTACAACCATCGCAAGACAAAAGTCTTGCAATGGTTGTAAGGTGTGTGCCCAGCCTTACAGGTGAAAATAAATAAAAATCAGTGGATCAAGTATGGCATCTTCCTTCTACAAAGAAACCAGCGTCAATGGCGTGGTTTAGCACAGTGCTTCTTAAAGTGTGGGTCGCGACCCTATATGGGGTCCCGCTCTGAGCCCCCGGCCAGGACCGCCATCACCGCTGGGGAGGAGAGAAGAGGATAGAGACACTAACCGACGCTGGGGGAGAGGGATGAGAAGAGGAGAGAGACACCGACCGACGCTAGGGGAGGGGGGGAGACACCGACCGACGCTAGGGGAGGGGGGAGACACCGACCGACGCTAGGGGAGGGGGGAGACACCGACCGACGCTAGGGGAGGGGGGAGACACCGACCGACCTTGTGGGTAAAGAGGGGAGAGACACCGTCCGACGCTGGGGTCCCTTAAAAATTTCCTCGACCAAAAAGGGGTCACGAGTGGAGAAAGTTTAAGGCCTGGTTTAGCACATAATTCATAGGAAAGAAGCACCTGCTTCAGTTTCCAAGCTTATAGGCTCCAGTGCTGTAGAACAGTGAGCAGAAAGTGTCAGTGTTTTGTTTCAAAAGTACATACTTACTCTTAGTACAAGTTTACTGTAACGCTGAGAGAGGCCTACTTTCACATGCTTCCCTTGGAAAAGGAGAGGGGTGTTGTCACAAGAATCTATCATAGTTTGCGCATCTTCTATCCTCTCCATCTCAATAAAAGCCTTAAAAAAAGAGAAACAGCACTATCAATACAACCCTTCTGTAACAAAACTCATGTAATAAACTGTAAGCTTAAGTAAGCAGCTCCATGACAACAATTGACAATAGGTATCAGGGCAACAACAAAAACAAAAAAAGTTAGAAAAAAAAACTTCCCTCACATGCTAAATTGTACTTATACAAAAAAAAAAAAAAAAAAAGATATACTTTCTGTAACTTTTTTCTTTATGTCCACTGAGGGACACAGTGGTTCCTGGAATTCATAACTTCTGCTTAAGGCTGGGTTCACACCTAGGCGTATTGAATATGGCCGTCTGTCGCGCGTTTTTTTACCGCGATTCGTGGTGCGACAAACGCGCGTTTCCGAGGGCTACTTGGCTGTATCCCAATGGAAACGCCCAACAAAAACGGCCCAAAGAAGTACATGTACTTGATTGAGCGTAGGCCGTTTTGTAGGGCGTTTCAGACGGGCGTAAATACGGAAAGGTGTGAACCATACCCATAGAAAACAATGGGATTTTCATGTTTGTACGTTTTGTAGAGCGTTCATAGAGCCTTGAACACACGACAAAACGTAAAGGTGTGAACAGGGCCTAAACTGCCATCTACAGGAGGTTGTGTGGCAAATGTTGAAGCCAGCCTCTATAACCCTGCCTCTCATGTTTTGTAAGCAAGCAGTACAAGAGCTGCCAATAGAGGGGTGGGACCCATGTCCCTCAGGCTTCAAGAAAGATTTTATGGCAAGTACAAAATCTTTTTTGGATCGTCCAGTGGGAAACAACAGAGTTCTTAAACAGTTGTGAAGTCCAAAAACAGTTCAACAAAAGGGGACTGTGCTCAACACTGGCACGTCGCATCTAGAGGGGGTTTGCAGCTGACAGGACCCGTTGTATTGCTTAACATACAATCTAGGAAATTGACCCCTCCTGACTATAATTCAATAACCATTGAATTCCTAATAACCGGTGTCCCTCAACTGACAATTTTCTTTTACTTCTAAAAGCAAGGATTTGTATTATATAAACAAAAACCACTACTCGCAGTTGCCATAAGGGCTAGTTCACACCAGCCACAGTGCGTCCTGCAAGGTAACGCGTGGCACATCAATGCCTGCAGGCCGGGCAAAAATTTTTTTTTTAAAATAGTGCTTGCAGCATTTTTTTTGGACTGGACCGCAGGCATTGATGTGCCTTCTATTCCCGTGCGGCCGATCGCATTGGAGGGCACGGCTACAGTGCCATTGAGTTAAATGCACCGCCACATCCCCTCACAACAAAGTAAGCTGGCCGCAATGCGATCCAGTGCGTTCCGGCCAGAATCGGCCTGGAACGCACTGTGGCTGCTCTGAACTAGCCCTAAAGCTACTGCCTCAAAAAACTTTGCCCGGAGACTAACATGGTACCAGCATGCTACTAGTGAATATCAAATAAAGCTAGAATTTTCAAAATGGGGTTCCACAAAGGCAGCCTACATATTTCCTCAGAACAGGTTTACTTAAAGGAAGCCACCTTTGTGCTGCAAACTGCCAATTGATGGGTGTTTGAGCAAACTAGGGCAAGCAGACCGAACACCAATCAATGCTTGACAGGGAATCTTTACACTATTTAGTTAAAAATGGAGCACCCTACAAAAGGTTTCTAAGATCAATTTTTGCCATTCAATGGGGTAGTGAAATCAAATCACAAACATGTGTACAATGTGAATAAAAGGCCAACATGTACATACCTGATTTCTCATTCTCATCAGTATGTAGGTCTTCACTTTTCCGTAGGTCTCAGCCAGCTTTATAACTGCGTTGTCAGTATAGCCAGATTTCGGAAGGTTAGAAAGGTGTACAACACGGCCAATTTCATCCTTCTCTCCTGATCTCCCATTTGATTTCGCCTCTGGTTTTTCTTCAGCTTTCCCTTCAGGTTTCTAATATTTAAATTGGAAGAAAAAAAAAAAAAAAAAAAAAAAAAAAAAAAAAAATATAAAAATGACATGCATTTTTTTTAAAGAATATGACATGCACTTTTTTTAATGTTGAAAGCAAAAGTGGGAAAGATCTGTCCAATCCTCCTGTAGGATGTAACAGTCTGAGGTGAGCCAGGACCTTGGGCAAAGAGATATTGCTTTTGAAGTCTCAAAAACATTTAAGCAGACACAGTACACTCAGAAATTATATGTGCACATTTTTAGGTAGATAACCGCTTCCCAAACCTAAAATACCAATTAGATACACCAATTCCGTCAATCAATAAACACAAGGACATAGATACACTATGGTTGATCAGTGTTTTCACCCAAGATATAACTGGAAAATGTGGGAATCTTGGAGGAAAAAACATTAAGGGAACCCAACTTGTTTAACCACAACGATTAGTTGAAAACAATTAACACGCACCTTAATCCGCTTATATTTTTGTGACATGTGTACTTGAACTGGTTTTCCAAACACAAGAGCTGGATTATTACTGTAGTAATCAACAATAGCATGAGCCTCCGATGGAATGGACATTTCAATAAAAGCCTGTTTAAAAGAAAGAATTTTAAAACATTAAAGAAAACAAATGCACTAATGCTTGATGTCTCAATAGAAAGACTGCATATACTTTTCATGCCAAAAGTTCTGGGAGATGTACAAAAGCAATAGCTGTGACCTGTGGTACACATTCAACAAATCACACAGTAAACGAGAAGGGGGTGCAGAATCTGAACTGTAGGATGCGTCCGAGCTCTGGCATGAGGCTATCTGTGGTATTCATAATTGTGTGACCAGGCAGCCCGAGGTCATAGTTATCAGGTCAATAATTCACAGTGCAGTGTGAAAATTAATGCATTTTGTATGGACAAAGCCCAAGGAAGGGGAACACATTCCGCATTTAGTTGCTATACAATCGCATTCATTGTGAAAACGAGAAAATGCATGTACTGTAATCCTTTAAAACCACTGAAAGTACAGTATAATAACCAATCTACCAGAAATCCAGTGAGCTTCTAACTTCCTGTGCACTAAAATTCTAATCAATGATGCCAGTTGTGCCCTGATGGACTCCAGAATACATTAAGAGGAGGCATAAAAAATAAAAAGCTTATACGAGTTTTAATTACTTTTTTTTTTCAAGTATAGAATCAATTTTTTGATGCTCATTTTGATGTGCACACTAAAATACTCCTTATTTTATTTTTGGTTTGTGCTTTTGTATGTTTATGGGATATAGTGTTTGAAAGCAATTTCTCCTCACAGGACTTTAAGATTTTTCTGTTTTAAATTAATTACTCTATTCTACTCTCCACAACATATAGGGATGTGCTCTGTATTCCAGCAGAAGAGTAGGTGGGCACAACAGATAGCACTGCTTAGAATTCAGTGCAGCAGAGTGCACAGAAAGTACTCCCCGGATTAAAAGCAGATTAAAATGTTTTTTTCTGTGCCTAAAGTATGTTAAAAAGGAATAAAATTGTGAAATGTGCAGGTATAAGATGTACTTATGTTTGCCACAGACAAACTTTAAAAACCAACAGCCAAAAGTGGTATTAAAAATACTGCATGGTAGTTAGCAAGGTGAAATATACCAGATCTCATCTCTTGAGAACTTCAATGTAGAGATATCACAATCAGAATTCCAAGGCATGAATGTGCCACTACCATCTTAAAGCTAAAATCGGGGTTCATATTTTACATTCTACATTGAGAACCAACAGGGAAATCTAGCTGCAAGACACAGCGACACCTTCATTTTAGCCTTATACAGAGGGCGAGACACAGACGGGAAAGTCGAACTACTGGGAGTACGAGATTTAGGGACTCGTCCACCCAAAGCAGAAACAGCCATACCTCGTTCTTTTTGTTCAGAATAAAACAGGTGGCAACTGTTCCAAAGGGCTTAGCGAGTTTCAGAAGCTGGAACCTCAGGTTCTTTCCTCGTTCAAACTCCATGATATGAACAACCCTGCCACCGCCCTAAATAAGAAAAAATAAAAAAAAGTTGAATTAAAAATCACATCACAAAAGCAATTACAAAGCCACAGGCCCCAAAACTACCCAATATTAACTGCTCCGCCCGTTGTGAAAAAATAGCCGGACGGCAAAAATCACACGGACAGGTTACCGTAATTAGACTGCTTTTTTTCTGCACGCACGGGCGGAAAAAGACCCGACCGCTGTGCACAGCCGTTACCGGCTGTTTGACATACAAACGATCGGCAGCTCTATAGCCTGCCGATCGCTTGTATGTTGTGACTGTGCGTCCCTCCTCCTGCACCCTCACCTTCAATCCCGGGATCCGCTATCCTATCTGCGGCCCGGGAGGGTGTCAGGAGGAAGATGGGAGGGAGATTTCCTCCTTGCTGATCTCCCTCAGTAGTGTGATTGCGGAAGTGATGTGCGAGGGCCTGTTCACACCATATGCATCGCGTTCCGGCCAGAACGCACTGCATCGCGGCCGGCTCACTTTTTTGCCGGGCAGGAGGGGGCGTGGCGGGCCATTGAAGTGAATGGTGCCGTAGCCATGCCCTATTAGCAGCACTATTTTGGCGCCGTAGCCACGCCCTATAAAGCACTATTTTAACAGCACCAGACCGCAGGCACGATGTGCCCTGCAATCCCGTGCGGACGATCGCATTGCGGCCGGAGGGCGTGGCTGCGGCGCCATTCACCTCAGTGGCCCCCACGAAATACTGAGCCGGCCGCGATGTAGTGTGTTCCGGTCTGAACGCACCGCATATGGTGTGAACAGGCCCTAATACATCACTTCCGTATTCACCAGTCAGTCCTCTAGCTGCTATAGCCAGAGAGAAGCTGATGAAGCAGATCTCTGCTTCATCAGCTTCTTCGTGGGTCCACAGGTGACATTAGGGGTCTTAGAGACCCCAAATGTCTCCTTAAAGAGGACCTGTCAGTGTGCCTTTCCTATTATATAGGGGGATTATTATCCCCCTATGTGATAGCAATGACAAAGTGTAAAAAAAAACCCCCCCCACAATTTTTAAGGCCCCCACGTTTACACACAAACACGCGTCAGATGCACAAGCGTGCAAAAATGACAATTGCGCTACACATGTTACATATCGCCGCAAACATCAGAGAGCACTAATTTTAGGGCCATCAATCACTGATGACACTAAACTGACGAGCAGTAAAAGCTTTTAAAGCGTCGCCTAAGGCCAATTTTGGGTATTGTAGTTTTTTGAAGTTTTGCGGGCATGTGCAATTTTAGGGCTTGACATGTTTGGTGTCTTTATCTGACGTGACCCCGTCTTTTTTATATTTTACCAAAAAATTGGGTAATAAATGTTTTATAAATTTAATATAGGGGAAAGTCCCCACACCCCGGTTAATCTTCCTTACTATAGTAAAAAATTAAACCCCCCAGTGGCGATTAAATACCACCAAAAGAAAGCTCTATCTGTCCCTAAAAAATGGTATAAAAGTAATTTCAGTACAGCATTGCATGACGGAATAAATGTCAAAGTACCGCAGCGCTGAATACTGAAAAATGGACAGGAAGGGGGTTTAACATCGCTAATTCAAGTGGTTAAAAAAAAAAAAAAAAAAACACACCCAAGAAATATCACTGACAGAAATGTGATAGTGGCCTTACAATCAAGGATCAACAAGGACTGAAGTCAGAAACTTAGCTTAAAGTGAACGTGCATACACCTATAGTTTGTGAATGATTATGCTGTGCAGTGTGGGATCCCCAAATGATCCAAATTCTCAAAATCAAAGAATACATTCTAGGATGTTTTCCCACAGGGTATTAAACCCCAAAACATAATCATATTAGTATGTGAATGAACAGACACGTGTACAGGAGAGTTACTTGATCTCATCATGCCTTCAAGCGTCGACTGTCAAGTATAAATGGATACATGACTCTTTGCTTTACTGATCAGGCAACCACCACGTCAAGTGGTTCGTGCATAGTTCAAGATGAGCTTAGATTTTCTCTGGCAGTCCAAATGAAAAAATTACATTTGGATAAATTACATTTTAAAAGTTACCTCTGGCTTATTTTAGAGCTCAGCGTAAAATAAAATATACAAAGTGCAAGTGTGTATACATGTATTGATTCATTCCCAAATATGCCGTGAGCCTTGTCACACAAATGGCAAATCACAATTTAGAGTGCTCTACAGAAGCTATGACTGTACATGGGGACGTCCTCAGAATCAGCATAGAAGGAAAGTCAGAGAACAATGTATAGTGGGATGTGAGCAGCTTAATCAAATGATTTCAGATGGAACCCGCTTAAGAAAATTATACAAACCATTTTCCTTGGCATTTGTCTTGGTCCTGGCATATCTTCATGCCCTGTACAATTCAAAGTACAAGCATTACAATAAAGTTGTTTTTTCAGGCAGAGTAAACAAAAAATACCACTAGCTACTTTTGGCACATTATGACTGACCACACTAAAGCTCAAAAACTATACTTTTAAGTGAAGACTGACAGTCTAAGATACATATGTGATATTTTTATATACGGTTACAAGTGTGCAGTAACCAGACCGATTCTCTTTAGTTCCTGGGCTTGCAGTCACTCCAAGCAATGGACTGCAGTGGGTCACAGTATATAACATCACTTAAAAAAATAAATAAGGAATGATTATTCATACTTACACTCACCAGGGTGGCCCCTAAAGTTCCCGTGTCGATCATCAGGACCGCCTCTCATGGGCATTGCTGGAGGAGGAGGTCCCAAAAGTCCAGGGGCTGGATTAGTTGACTGCTGCAACATGTAAGGATCGGCCCTGCAAATATTTTATATGTTATTATCCTAAATTCTGGACATTCGATTGGAGTACAGCACACTGATCAGAAAGACAGAAAATACACAACTTAATGCATCCTTATTACCTGGATAAAATAGCCAGGTTACAGAAAAGCTAAATTAAAGCAGCTTTAGCTGCCTGTACATAGTCTATGTAGTACCCTGGGAACCCCTGAACCCTATAAGCAAACACCAACTTTTCAAATGGAAAAGTCGGACCAAAGTAATTGCTGTTTAAAACATACGCCCCTCTATTGTCTTAAAAGTCTTATAACCAAATGTTCCTCAGAGTACTTCAGTGTCTATAGCCGCCAGGAGTCTGTTTACATTTGTAAAGTCGACTGTCTGCTTTACAATAAAAGTGATTCGCCAGATCGCTTCTCCGGGCCAATAAAAACACCCCACATACGTTTCCAGGACCAGCTTCTTGGGTGTCGGTGGGAAGCAGATCTGTGAATGTTCGTTCGCCGATTTCCTCCACCTAGTATCGGACCAGGAGTGACAAGTATTGCATTCACTTCCGGTCCCATAGATGTCGTTGCTGGGTTTCTGAAGTGCGATCTGCACTTCAATAGCTTATTTCAAGTGTAAAGGTGACATTAGGGGTCTTTGGACCCCCTGCATCAACTTAAAGAGTACCTGCCATCACATGGGGGAATTGTAAGCCACCCTATGTGATAGCAATTAAAGTTAAAAAAAGTTTTTAAAATAGTAGCAAATTAAATTGTTTTTTTTTTAAATCCACCGCGAGTCAAAACGTAAACAGCAATAATTCTTGGGCCAATATTTATGTGCATCTTTAAACTGATGACCTGTAGGGGCTTTTAAAGCTTCATCTATGGACTTTGTCACCATTTTACAGACCTGGGCATGTTGGGTATCCCTTTACTCATTGAAAACATTTTTTTTTTAAAAATAGGTATTTTATTGTGTTTGGGGGCACCACATTTAATTTAAGTGCATTTTTCAATACATTTTGGGGTTTGATAAGTTGCGCTAATATAGTGCAACATAAAAATTTGCAACGGTCACTGTCAGAAAATAAATAATGTTTGGGGGTTTGAAGTAATTTGCAGGCCTGAAATGTGGATTATAACATGGGTGTAAAAAACAAAAAAAGGATTGGGTCATGAAGGGGTTAAAGGTGTACAACCATGGCTTCGGCATTAAAATGTTAAGTTGAGAGAAACAGTCCCCAAATTTCAGTCCCAAGTCTTTTTATAAGGACCGATAACTGAAGGTCCTCAGAAAATCTGGAATCAGCCATGATGCCTGCTGCAACAAAACATTTAAAAGTGTGAATTGGAACACAACAAAGTGGGGTCTTGTCAAATGTGACTGCAAAAGTGGAAATACACTTTAAAGTGACATTAAACTAGAGTTAAATCTTAAAAAACGCATTTAAGTACCTTAACTTTTAACAAAAAATGTTGCTCGTTTGTGCATCACTCGGCTGCAGATCCTCAAATCTCTGAATTGGTGCGGACACTGTACTTCCTTCTGGAGGGTGGATAATTTTGTTCCCCATGATCCCTGTGCTGTAAAGTTGCCACCGCTCCAAGCTCGCTCCTGTGATGGTCAATTTGTATTGAAGGTATAGCCTAACTAAATGTGAGATTGCAATCCATCACAGGAGAGATCTTGGAGCAGAAGGACAATGTAACTATGAATTCTGATTTGAGGATCTACAGCAAAGTGATACCCAAATAAGATAGTTTTGTTAATAGTTAAGGCATTATTAAGATTTAACTCTTGAGTTTAGTGTCAATTTAAATAAAGCCTAGGAGTTGCAGGTTTTTTTTGGGGGGGTTAACTACACATCATCCCTGATGTTCTGGTTAGGGGGTTAACATAGCTTTTTTTCACCTGTCAGGCACAACAAACTGGAAGCTAGCACCGCTAATGTGCAGGCATCTATAGGTCTAAAGGTCAATGCAATCCTTGTGGATACACTAGTTTCCAGCTGCAGGCAGTATACTCAGCCTCAACTTCAGTGCAAGCTGCCCCTTCTGGCTCCAAACACCCCCTCCCCACCCCCATGTCGGCTGTTTAAGGGCACATGACTGTTCAATGGTAGGGGCAGAGCTTAGTGCTAACAGAAGTCAATGACCAATTTAACAATTTAAGTGCCCAGTGTAGGTATGTAGTGCATGGTATCTGTAATACTTACATTCCATGTTCAGCCAATTCTGGATATCTGCATAGAAAAAGTAGACAAGCAAATTTTAACTCAAGAGTAAAAGAAAATGTTAAACAATATATTTTAGGGGTGGAGAAATGAATATGAAATTCAGAAGCCGGCAGGTCCCCCCTTTTAGGAGCCAGCTTCACTGACTAGAAAAAAAAGTCACCAGCTTTATTATTAATCTGAGAGTTGATAAATGACTGTAGAATTTAAAAGCTATAATGTCCAATGTACAAGGGACAGTAGGCACTTTAAAGAGCAAGGGAAAACTTGGAGCGGTAAGATTTCCTTTGGCTCTACAATTTCTTAGCTGCCATCAGGACTCCCAGTTGCTGGTCTAACAGGTGCGTCTCCACCTCGGAATGTAGTAGTATACGAACAGACCGGAAAAGCCAGAGAATTCCAATACTTCAGACTATTGAAATTCACAGCAAATCCAGTATAACAGTGAATCAAAGTGTATAAAGCCGCAAATACCAGCATCACAAACCCCCAACCAGCTACAACCTCACATACTACTCCATGCCTGGAAGTCCTGGGTGTTTTCTTTACAGCTTAAAAGTGACAGGGAAGCTAATGAAAGGCTTCTGGGAGAGGGGGTGTCACAAAGTGAACCTGATGCTTTCTCCTGCATTGGCAAAGCACAGGATTTCTTTATGTTAGGTGCAGCCAGCTTTTTGTCAGTCAAGGGCCACCTAGCACATGCAACTAAAAGTTGCACTGCCTGAGGGCCGGTTCACACCACAATCTCCGCGTTCAAGTACATTTGGCCGCTGGAACACAAGCTGGCTGGCTCCCTGCGTTCAGGGGCGTGGCGGTGCATTGAAGTCAATGGCACCGCAGACTCGCCACCCGCCTGCACCCAGAACGCAGACACTAATGTGTCTGCGTTCCGAGTGATCGCACTGCTGGTGGGGGGCGTGGCTGTGGTGCCATTGACTTAAATGCACCGCCACGCAGAATTTAAAAGCTATAATGTCCAATGTACAAGGGACAGTAGGCACTTTAAAGAGCAAGGGAAAACTTGGAGCGGTAAGATTTCCTTTGGCTCTACAATTTCTTAGCTGCCATCAGGACTCCCAGTTGCTGGTCTAACAGGTGCGTCTCCACCTCGGAATGTAGTAGTATACGAACAGACCGGAAAAGCCAGAGAATTCCAATACTTCAGACTATTGAAATTCACAGCAAATCCAGTATAACAGTGAATCAAAGTGTATAAAGCCGCAAATACCAGCATCACAAACCCCCAACCAGCTACAACCTCACATACTACTCCATGCCTGGAAGTCCTGGGTGTTTTCTTTACAGCTTAAAAGTGACAGGGAAGCTAATGAAAGGCTTCTGGGAGAGGGGGTGTCACAAAGTGAACCTGATGCTTTCTCCTGCATTGGCAAAGCACAGGATTTCTTTATGTTAGGTGCAGCCAGCTTTTTGTCAGTCAAGGGCCACCTAGCACATGCAACTAAAAGTTGCACTGCCTGAGGGCCGGTTCACACCACAATCTCCGCGTTCAAGTACATTTGGCCGCTGGAACACAAGCTGGCTGGCTCCCTGCGTTCAGGGGCGTGGCGGTGCATTGAAGTCAATGGCACCGCAGACTCGCCACCCGCCTGCACCCAGAACGCAGACACTAATGTGTCTGCGTTCCGAGTGATCGCACTGCTGGTGGGGGGCGTGGCTGTGGTGCCATTGACTTAAATGCACCGCCACGCACCCTACCACAGGGAGCCAGTTGCGTTCCAGAGGCCGGACGCACTGGAACGCGGAGTTGGTGGTGTGAACTGGCCCTGAAAGGCACTGATCGCCACAAAGAACTCAAAACAGTTAACACCAATTTTTAAATACTTCACGTACAAGTCGACAAGCAGCAGGCGTTGCTTTCTATGGTATCCTCCATTGATGTGTTCATTCCAGTTCTACAACGAAGAAAACAACAAAACAAACACATGGGCAAGCATTAGTAAAACAATCTTTCCCAGCAACATGAAGAGCCAAATAAATATACTTCAATTACAGCTGAAAACCTTCGTTTTTCCCACGTTGGGTGACCAAATTGTTAAAACCTCTTTAGACTTATTACCGAATGCCACTGACATTAGCCCTTATTTTCGGTTTGTTCAGCTTGACAAGGGAGAGCAAATCTCTCCAACAGTGATAAAAACCCAGCAGCTGACTTCTCCTGCTATTTAAGCCCTAGAAAAAAAAATTATTATTTCCTCTGGCATATGTGCTAAAATACCACTAAGTGAGGTCACCTAATATAAAAATGCTGACTTTTCTTTGGGAAAAAAAAATCCATTTGAAAAGTATCCTTTTTAATGTTACTACACAGGAAACAAGAATACTAAGACAGAACAATATACTTAATCTTCCTGTACACCAAGCTGCAAAAGAACGCATTAGCAGAGGGAAAAGAGAGATTCCCTAATAAAAAGTGTTGTAATAAGCCAAACCTGATCTTTGGCATAGAACAAGGACCTCCTTAACTAGTGGTTGTACAATGTGTATCAGGCTTGAAACAAAACCCAGTACCTGACCAAATAGCATTAGAAGGTGGTCAAATGAACACAGGTTCCTGCTCAACAGGCAGAAGAAATGCCAAGTACAATAGGTGAAGGAATTCATAAAGTATGCCAAGTACAGAGAACAGAGGGTGACACAATGCCCACCCAAGGACAGATAAGACAGTTTGGACATGAGTTACCCTTCTCACCAAACCTTCAAAATCAAACTGGATGAAACTAGGAGTCGGAAAAATTTATGAACCCTTTGAAATATGAAGATATTACCTAAATGTAGAGGTATGGCTTTTAGGAGGTTTTTAAACACAACTGTAAAGTTCCCTTTGTATACCCTCTGTACTTGTCAAGCCTTGAAAGACTTCATCGTTTTAGGAAGAATGGAAAAAGGGCTCAACTAGATTAGCTTATATCTTTGGTTTTAGATGTTCCAAATACACCATTTATAATAAACATAATTTTATACAATGATCGACATCTAGACTCATGTTGGTAGGGGTGAAGATAGCTTGCCAAGAAGGGCACAAATTGAAAGGCTTAAGGTTGAATGAGCTGACCCCATCTCTGTAGGCACCAAAAGTAGTAACAAAAAGGGATACATTTGCACTGTATTTTGTCCAGTCCAATACGGAAGAGCAAGAACTGGCTGAAAGGTTTAAGTGCAAGTAAGCTATAATAGCTCAAGGACAACAAGATTAGCTCAACCAAATGTTGTGTTCAAGGAGATTATGGAATCTGGAGCCTATATTAAATTATAAAACACAAGTGCAGGCCTTACTGTATGTGGCTAAAGACAGGTGGCCAAATTGCATTACTCTTTAGCCAGGCCTGGAGAACCAGCAGATTACTGGGCATAACCGGTTATCACCTATTTCAGATCTGTGTTCAGCTCACTACGTTACGCAAAACCATTCTGGCTTTAAAGTCGTTCTGAATTCCATGACATGTCACTACTGAGGACCTACTGTCACATGAAAATCCCATTAAAATTGTTTGGAATCAAAGCTTTTTTTTGCAGACTAGATGGCAGATTACGAAAGTGTTTTGTGAAAACAAAGCAATCGTAACTATTTAGACAGCCAAGAGAGAGTCATGCCCCATAACTGACATGAACAATTAAAAACTATAGAGACTTCAGAACAAGGGATGAGATGGGTACAACTCACCTTAATAGAATTACAAGGTATATCACACAGAGTACAGAGATGGGGGTAGTCTTTAGGCGCAAGTCCATGGAAATCATCAAAGGTTCTACCGGATGGCATTCTTCTTGACTTTTCAAACATAGATCTTTCCTGTGTCCGCATGTAACTCAAGCGATCATAATCACTTTCAAGCTTACGAAAAGGGGATTCAGATAAGAAGCTGTCATCTCTAAGCCTTTCTCGATCTCTTAACCGTTCATCCATATCCAGCCTCTCTCGATAAGCAAGTTCTCGAGAGCGACTCCCGTGATCACGGTCCACCACAGGATTGAGATTAGACGGGCGATCGTCAAAACTCTCTCGTCTGAAGGGCCTCACGTCATCCCAGTCATCACGTGACGATCTCAGCGTATCGTGAGAAAGTCTCTCTCTCCTTAGCATGTCTAGGTCTTCTGCCCTCCTCCTTTTAAGATGCTCAATAATCTGAGGCAAGTTCTCAGCAGTGATCTTCTCCTCAGGGTAGCGACTCAGCTCATCCAAGTCACTAGAGGAAAGACCAAAGCTGGCCAATATTTTACTGGCCTGATCAGGATCTCTGGATGGTTGAGAAGATGGTGGACCTCTACTACCAAGGCTAAAAATGGATGGCAAGTTTTGAGAAGAGGTGCCAGAGGGCATCATGCCACGGGATCCTTGAGGGCCCAATTTAGAGGCTGGACCTAGGTCCAACAAGCTGGTAAGACGACTAGAGCTTGGGCCTAATCGACCAAAGCCGGATGATAAAGGCTGATTACTCGAGAAAGGGCCCATTCTGGATGCATCACGTCTGTGTTTATCAGGCATATCTCTGCTCAGGGATGAATGAGGAAACTTAGACATTATGGGACTATGCTTTTGGATTCCCAAAAAGGAAAGCAAAGTAAGCAAGAACAAGGATTAAGTCCTGCAGCTAGTGTACAAACGCTTGAAAATGTTGCGACTGAGGACACTGATGGATCTTCAAGAACAATGACGCCAAGAAATTCTGTAGAAAAACAAGTAATTTTAGTAAAACACTTAGTTAAAATATCAACATCAAGTTTTGGGCTTGAGTGAAAAACATTAAAAAAAAAACAAAAAACAGTTCAACAAATCTTTCATAAAAGAACCGACATACCACTAGCCAGAGATCCTTTATGGGGGGTGACAGAAAATATCAGAAATTCAAGTTTTATCAGAGCTATACTTCTACTGTTGGATAAAACATTGTTTTTCTATGTCAGATTGATTTACTTGTTACAAACCAGCAGTGAATTTCAAATATTTTTACAAAATCAAATCTCTGAGGAAAAAACAAAACAATAAATCAGAATTACAATTTGCATGTTGCAAACATGACATGTCTATGAATTTAACTCAAGTATTATCGCCTGAACACAGTTTATACAAAAAGGGGCATGGGGGTGGTGGAGGGACAGACTTAGCCAACAATTAAAAAAAAGCACAAATCCATGCATTAACGTGGAATTTTGAATCATTGTTTGAAATATGCCCCTCCAATCCCAGTATAGCTTAGGAGACCACCATGCCAACCAGTCACCGAGATTTGAAGGTAGATATATCAAGATAAAAGCCAACGTGTAGAAATCCCAGAAACGAAGGCCTCAGTACAAGAACAGCCAAATCATCATAGCAAGAACACAAACTGGCCAAATGCGTGACTGGACTATAACGGCAGTTTTGTATGTGCTTGAAATGCATAAAAATCAATTTTAAGATTCAATTTTTTGTAAATTTCCAAAAGGAACCAGTCAGGTTAACCTGGCACCACATCCATAGATATCACCTATTGCAATGTAATGCAAACACAGAAAAAACAGCCGAAACTGAATAAAATCTTGACATTAAACATTCAAGGCCAACTCTGATATAAAGATCAGACCCACTACTCCTCAATATAGAAGTTGAGAATGGCAAAAGCGAGGAAGCTAGATCAAAAACTCATCGGGCTGAACGTTACTACTAGGGCTGCAACCATCTAATAGATTAATGGATGAGAATAGTTGTCAACTATTCTCATTATCGATTAGTTGGTTGAATCCCCTAGCTCTCCCCTCCATTGTGGAAGGAGGGCACAGCAAACGGTGGGAGGTGCAATAGCCAGTCTGCTATTGACTATTGCAGTTTAAAATGGCAAATAGCAGGCTGGGTATTGCACCATCCCTTTACCTGCTGCGTGCAGAAGCTTGCCACTGGCAGCCGCCATTCCCTGGCTAAAGCTATTTAAGCACCATGTGCTTACAATACAATTTTGTTTTTTAGTAAGTCATTTTTGGTTACGGCCTGACAAATTCTGCTGCAGGAGCTGCGTTGCAGTGCCATTCATTTCAATGGACCCCCAATGTGCCTTCCACCCAGTGTGACCACCTGTACTGGAACGCACGGTACCACAATGCAGTGCATTCAGGTGTAGTGTGATTGCAAAAAATTGTGCATGCAATTTTATTCTGAAGTAAACTATGTTTGTAACACTGCATTGGGGTATTTTATTTTAAAGGATGGTATTGAATTTTTATCCAATCGAAAAAAATATCAGTCAACTAATCAGTTAGGAAAATAATTAGTTGCTGCCATACTTACTACAAGCTTAAAAAGGAGGACTATGAGGCGAGCAATTCCCACTCAAATTACTACAAAATGGGTTCCTTTTTTGTGTGCCCCAATCGCTACAGAATTCTGAGTTCTGGATTGAAGGATGCTCACATTAAAGGGAAGGCCACATTTACAAAAGGCATTGGGGGACAACAGTATCATCTCCTGAACACCTGCAAACTGATGCTCAACTGTGTCTGAAAAAACATCCAACACAGATCACTTTTCAGTAAAGTCCACTGCCTTCATGAGTGAGACCCAAGAGAGAATTCCCCATAATTTCCAGTGCTGCTGACATTCACCCAGACTGGAAAGGGAATTCTCCAACAGCAATAAAATACTTTTAGTACAGTAAGAAAATGCTGTGTTCCAGGAGGAGAGGAAAAACACTGTTAAATCAGACCTTTACAATAACACCTTAAAGAAGAACTATGGGGCTAAAGTGACATTAAACCCTCAGATTTTTTAACATAAAACAATACTGTAATGTGTGCCTTACTGTAATCCATGGTTGTTTCCCTTCTCTTTGCTGCTCTTCCTTTTAAATCTGTTCTCATGCTCTGCAGAACTTCTGGTTTGCAGCAGACTGCCTTGTCTCAGGAATGGATACACTGTGTCTGTGTGTAGGTTTGTATAGGCTTGTAACCTGAGCCAGCACTACAGGAAGAGGCCCTGAGCTGAAAAGGGAACTTCTCCCCAAGCATGAGAAGATATGAGGATTTAAAAGGAAGGAGCAGCAAAGAGAAGGGAAACAACCATGGATTACAGTAAGGCACACATTACAGTATTGTTTTATGTTAAAAAATCTGAGGGTTTAATGTCACTTTAAGGCTTTTCCCCATAGTTCTCCTTAGGGTAACGGTAGGATACAAACTAGCGTCCTCCTGTCACCCTAGGCTCAGTATACCGCAAGCTGTAGCTTGCAGTATACCGCGAGCTGCTGCGGTATACTGGGACGCCTCAGCTGAAGCGGATCCCGACAAATGTGCCAGGATCCGCCAGCTGCGTGACCTATCTAGAGACAGAGCCAGCTGTACCCCCCCCCCTCCGTTCCGCCAGTCAGCGCTGGCAGATCGGAGCGGGGAGAGGGGAATCCAGCCCCTCCCCCTGTCACGGCAGAGAGCCGTGACAGGATCGAGAGGTGAGCGAACGCCAGTATGTGTTCGCTCACTTCCCGATCTACTGAGCCAACATGTGACAGTCTCATTGTCACAGGTCGGCTAGAACTGTGAGGTGAGTGAAAAGCACTCACCTCATAGTTCTCCTTTAAGAAATGTTTAGTAATGACAATCTACAAACACGTACTTCCAGATAATTGCCGGCTTGTATCCTTTGCATACCTTATTTCTCTTTTCTTTTCCAGTCTTCTGACAGTGGCCATTTTAACTAAGGGCAGGTTACTACCTCTTCCTTTACTTCCTGAATATCTGGCACGTGTGACTAGACATGTGACCATGCAGATCTTAGGGGAGGAAATGCCTTTCCCCGAGATCTCATTAGATTACAGATGAGATTTCCAGCAATGCTCTGCTGATGTAATTTTTACAGGATGCAGTGCTTTGGCACATACATTTTGTCAGAACTGGATCAGGAAGGGGGTGAACTCTATTTGTAATTAAACGAAAAACAAGTTCATTGAATGAATGTAAGATGGTTTTAAAAGAGCATGCAGACATGCATGCTGATGTGAATTTTAGTAAAATGGGTAAAGGTCCGCTTTATGATTGACACAATAAAACTCTACATAAGCTAACTATTTCACTACCTATCCAGCATTAAAAAAAAGGTTTGGCTGGAGACACGCTTTATGGACTGGTGATAGTCTTTTGTATCCCACAGATTTGTAATTAAAGTAGTCAAGCACAGCCACTTTGCAGTATGTGTTATGAGGAAAAATGGCCACCTCCATGTACAACCACAATAATAAAAACAAAAAACACAAACACGGGTTTAAGCTGGTCATACACCAGTAGAAAGTTCAAAATTCACATTGTAAACATTTGTTCAATTTTACTAATAGGCACTGGGGTCAAATCAATTATTTTAAACCACAGTAACAAAACACAAGAAGATGGGGGGAAAAAATGTTTTAACCAAAGAAAATGTAACACTGAACGGGGTTCTTATTCAGGAAACACCATTCATTTACAAAGCAAAAGATTGATCTAGATTAATAGAGTCTCTGATGGTATTATCTAAGGTTCTGACAAGATTTTCCATGTAAACGCTCTACCGGTGTACAGCCAGCTTTAGACCTCATGTACAGGTATAGAACCACAAGACCGCGGTGTTTCACCCCCTTCCTGGCCAGGCCATTTTTCAACCATATTTGCAGCATCTGGGGGCCACAGCTACTACATTGTTTTCACCCATAGCAATGAATTCACAGAACACACATGCAGATATCAGTACTTGCACTCACACATGTACTTGCACATAAAAGGTCCAAAGCAAAACCTCGAAATCAGGAATTAAACTCAGACCACATGACCTTTCCACCAACAAAATTTGACAGACGGCGATGAGCTGGTCACATGTAACCCCAGCACAGGGTTACACACTGAAAGGCCTTTTCCTCCACCCACAGCCTGCTCCGCCACACACGAGGGAAGGTACACGATAAATATTCGCTATCGCGGCCTACTGCTACAGGACACATAAAAAAATGGCCGCCACCCCCAGAACAATCTCCCATCAGTGTTTGCCCTCAGCGGGGGAACTCACACATCGACCATAGAAGGCCGAACCGCCTCACCTACAATCCGCTCTTCTTCGACCTCTTCACACAAAGAAGCGCGCTAAACCCTACACGATGCAGGTAGTACGCAGAACGGAAACAGACAGAATCAGCTCGCTTCCGGTTTCAAAAGGAGTGACGTCACCCAATGGGCGGGGCTTGTGTAGTAAATGGCGGGATTGGTGGAGGGAGTTGAGTTACCATGTGTTTCCTCATTGGTTGCCCGGGCTGGTAGTAATCTGAGCTCTATACTGACATCTAGCGGTCGTGGCTAGTAAGGCATCAACAATGATGTGCTTTAGAGGATTTGTAGAGACCCCTGACAGCAATGAGCCTTCTGTGTTATTGTTACTGTGGAATAAATAGTATGAGAGATCAAAATAAAATGCAGTGTATTTCTACAATCCTGTTGTGGAATGACATCACATGGCCTAATGTGGACTAAGATTGCAATAGAAATAGCGTCAGGCCTGTTCAGAAGCGTGTTCAGTTGCTCAGCCGCTGCGAGTGCTGAGTTAGCAAACCGCTGCTGAAAACTGTGCTGCAGGTCAGCGCTCAGCACTGCTAACTTAGCACTCGCAGCAGAAGTGAATGTGGATGCTGAGTGTGATGTAGAAGCTGAGGAGAGAGCACCAGCGGCCATTTTAACTGTGGGCACATCTGGCAGCCCTGGAGAAAGGTGCCTGAACCCCCAA